CAATATGCGTTTTTGCTGCCTGTTGCAGCGCTCTAGCGCTGCACGGCAAAAACGCATAAAAATGACTGAGAAACTTACGTGGACCAAGCATTCCGGACCAACTGTACACCAGGACCACCATAAACAAGTTGAATAACTGGATATCGTAGCCCAGGAACTGCTCCGAATGGCCTAATCAACAGCGCATAATGTTTTCGTTTCGAATTTTCCGAATGGTACTCGATTAATTCCGGATTATCGGCTGTTTTTGGAAAGCACATACAATCTGCAAAAAAGATAAACATGCCATAAATTCTAAATGGTCAAATGCTTGCCTCCACGTCTGTTTCCGGGTAGTCTAGTGCCACTGAAAAACCCCTATATATCTGAATCTACCACGTTTCCTTTGGTGAATAATGGCCAGGGGACAGAGAATCGCCGATGGTTGAACTGATAGGCTACAAAATTAATATATCTAGTATTTTTCTCCAGAAAAAAACCTATATACTTCTACCCAATCGATGTATGTGCGTCACATTCTCCAGAGCCGTCCGAACAGTCATTTTTCGAATTTTTACAGAAATTTGGAAGTGATCTGCAGAAACAAGAGAGAACAAAAAGTATGCATCGCTAAAGTGTCAACAATCAAAATTCTCCACATCCAGCTTTTTGCGAAAAACACATGCGCACTCCAAGTATTCACACCTTCCCAGTAACGACCAGTTTTGCAGGCAAGGCTTTCAATAACCCTATATTCTTGGATAACTTAAGGTGCAAGACGAAGGTACTTCAAAAGCCTATCTACAACAACGGCTGCCACAGAAACGATTTGCTATCAGAAAATATTAAAAACAATTTTTAACAATACCTATTTTTTGAGTTAAATGTTGTTCTTTGCTAAGACTGGGTTGTGGTAGATGAATGAGATGCTGCAGTACAGCGTATGGCAGGCGATCGCCACGTATATGATGTAACCGGTAAAATACACAACGCGGTGGCATTTGCAGTGAACTTTCCCAGCAAACAAAACCAATTTCCGGATTGATACGCAACTCGCTTTCCATCCTTTCATACCTTAATTACAACCAAAAAAATTATTTGAACAATACAGAAGAAAAACTGAATTTATGCTGGCAAGGCCAAAATTCTTCCGTATTTACCCTCTATGAGCAAGCACGAGTGGTAGCACGTGTCAAAAAAAACCATCTGCCGACGAGGATATCGGCAAATCTTTCTTTCAAAGGTTGCTTAGAAGCAAACTGATGGCGGTTTTGACTCCCTGGCATATATCAGTACTAATCTGCCATCATTTCTTAACAAAGAATGCATATTTTCATGATAGGAGTATATCACCTACGAATTTAGATTGCTTTTCGCTGCAGAAACTAGGGTTATAAATATGTCAAAAGACAAATTCACTTTTCATATGCATTTTTGACAGTCCCGGAAGGAGAAACGGAAAATAGACAAATAATACAAACAAACAGATAAAACAAACAAGCAACGATAAACGGATA